GTCTTTTTCACTAGGTGACATCTTCAGGTTGCAAAGTGTGATGCTTAAGGTTGCCATCTCTAGGGAGCGCACTGTGAAAAGATCGCTCTACCAAAGCATGGTTTTTTTTTTTTTAAGACTTTATTTATTTATTTGACAGAGAGACAGTGAGAGAGGGAACACAAGCAGGGGGAGTGGGAGAGGGAGAAGCAGGCTTCCCACAGAGCAGGGAGCCCAACGTGGGGCTCAGTCCCAGGACCCTGGGGTCATGACGTGAGCCGAAGGCAGACACTTAACCAAATGAGCCACCCAGGCGCCCCTCCATTATTATTTCTTCAGTGGCCTTAATTAAAGGTGTGGAGGCAGGAATGGCTCTGAGACAAGGGGGAATCCCCATGCCACAGGGTCTGGTTATTAGCTGTAATACCTTATGGGTTGATGATGGTCCCCATGTTTTGGGGTGAGTACTCCCGAGGGCATTCTCTTCTCTCTTACAAAGAGGTAAAAGGAAAGTTGATGATTAGGACATCCAAGGGCAGGGGACATTACTAGGCTTTTTTTTAAAGTTCCAAAGGTTACATCTTCCTGACCTTTCCAAATAATAAGGTCAAGTTTGTCATTTTTTAGTAAAGCATATAGAGTTTGAGTCATAAGAGAATTTTGGGATCCCATTTCCAACGGTAGCCAGCAAGTCCAAGAAAACCTCATAATTGGTGCTTAGTTTTAGGTTTTGGCAAGTTCAGGATATCTTGAAGTCTACCTGGATCCAAATATCCTTGTTCCAAGATCAGGTGCCCTAAGTATTAAACCTAAGTTTGAGCAAACTACAGTTTATCTTTGGAGAGTTTATGTCCCTTTAAGGCCAAAAGTTGCAACAGTTAGATGCTGTCTTCCTGTGAAGAGTTTTGAGAAAGGGAACAGAGAAGCAAATCATCTACATAGTATAACAAAGTAGAGCCTAGAGAAAACTATATCATCTAAATCAGTAAGATTTTAAAAAACCTCTAAGGTTTGTGACCGTAAGGACTCTCTGTAGGCCTGAGGCATTATTGGCCAGGTGTATTTCCCATTCTGCCCAAGTGAAAGCAGAAAGATTAGCTATCCTTATCAGCTGGAATACTAAAATACGTACTGCAGAGGTTACAGTGAAAAATCTGCTTTCAGTGGGAATGGATGTCAGTAGCATATGGGGGGTGGGGAGCCAGTTAGGAACAAGGTGCCAAGGAATAACAATGTTATTTATTGCTTGGGCTAACCTCCATCCTTGGCCGTCTGGTTTTCTTACAGGTAAAATAAGGGTATTACAGGGACTAGTGTAGGGATTAATGCAGCCCAGAGCCTTGTAATCTTTTATTATGGGCTTGATGCCTTGCAAGGCTTCTTTATTTATAGGCTGTTCATTAATTCTGGGGATGGGTTTTGAGGGATCTGTTTGAATCTTGATGGGAGATGCACTCTGGATTCTGCCAACATCAGTTGAAGATCTTGCTCATCAAGAGGATGGTAACTTATCCAATAGGGACAAATGATCAGTGTCCCCAAACTCAGCTATAGTGCTGCCAGAGATGAAGCAAATAATAGATGTCACAGGGCCATTTAATTTACCTAATTGGCTATTTTGACTGTTTTTTTTTTTTTTAAGATTTTATTTATCTGACAGAGAGAGACATAGTGAGAGAGAGAGAGAGAGCACAAGCGGGGAGAGGGGGAGAGGGAGAAGCAGGCTTCCCACTGAGCAGGGAGCCCGATGTAGGGCTCGATCCCAGGACCCTGGGATCATGACCTGAGCCGAAGGCAGACACCCAACGACTGAGCCACCCAGGCGCCTCCCTAATTGGCTATTTTGATTACTACCTTCAAATTCCAGAATTATTTCCCAATTTAGGAAGAAAGGAATTCTGGTATGGTATTTTTCTAAGAGATCTTGGCCCAATGGGGCAGAGGAACTAAAGAGAAAGAGTTGTGTCTCTCAAAGTGCCTAGACAAATGGGAATAGGTTCAGGGACAGGAATCTACTGCCGTTTATTAGAGATCCCTACTATTTGAACTGTTTCAGTACTCTGAGGCAGAGGCTGCAGTGGGGTTGAGCACCAAGAGTGTAGCTCTCACATCAGTAGAGACAGATTCATTCCCAATCTGGAGAGTGGTTTCTCTGAGCTGATTAAGAGGGAAAACTGGGAAGAGCTCCTGTTGTTCCTCAGAGCCCTGTCATTGGGAATTAGGAAGACATTGGAAAGGCTGGCTAGGAGGCTGAAGGCTGCTGGAGCATTTCAGTTGGTAACAATCTTTTTTTTTTTTTTTTTTTTTTTTAATGTCCTGGCTCTTTGCAATAATAGAAAGTAGGAGGGTTTTTGTTTTGGTTAGGGCCCTTATTTGCAAGACTGGAAAAGTAAGAATTCTAGGTGACTCCTCCAAGGATGCAAGTAAGCTCATTTGCCAAATTAACTAAATCTGCAGTGAACATAGTTTCCCTTTCCATCCTGGTCCTTGTAACTAAAATAGAAGTATCTTGGTTCAGTCCATTAATAAATACATGGTTAAATGTTACCCAGGTGGATTCAACATATAAAAAGAAGACCAAATTGTCTTTCAGTTTTCTTTAAAGACAATTTGGAGTCAATTATAATAATAATGACAGATTCACCAGACTTTTGTGTATAAGCCTGCATTTCATTCTAGTCAACAGGCTTAGGAAAAAGTACTGTAATTGCTTGGTGGAGATTTCCAGTGAGTGTCCTAGCATCTTGCCAAAAATTAGGGATCTGTTTCTCTAAATCTATTTACGATGTTTCCATTGAGGTAGTTTCATCTAGTGTTTGGTCTAGCCCTCACCAACAGGGATATTATCAGAGAGACCGGGTTGGTGAGTTTGAATGACAATGCTAAATTCTTCAGCAAACCTCTGGGTGTCCTTGGTCACTTTAGGGAACTCCTTTAACTATGGCTTGCAATTCAGCCTTAGTTCAGTGAACATAGATATGTGGGGTATATTTAGCTCCTCAGAAGACTTAACTTCAAATTCAGGTTCAGGAAAGGAAAGGAGAGAGGAGGAAAGGTTTAGAGGAAAAGGGAAGTTTGGTGAGAGAATTGGCAAGGCAAAACTGCGGGTGTGGAGGGGGAGGCAGTGCAGAAGGGAAGGAGGAGGACGGCACTGATGTGGGGCCTGAACACAGTGGCTGCTGCACATCCTGAGACAAAGAAGATAGGAGGGGAAAGACCTTATAAACCTTTTTGTCTTTTTAATTGTTTGCCTGTTAGTCTAGAAATTGTATTTGGCAGAGAGACAATTTTAGATTCCTAATAATATTTGGAAGTTTCAGAATACCAATCAATCCCATTCTGTCTTGGCAATTTTAGAGCCATGGCTGTCCAGTTCAGTTTTGAAAAAAGTAAGTTCGGGAAGATTGAAAGACCTCCCAAATGGCCACTGAAGCCCCAGTTTATAGCTGTCAATCAAATGTCTGGGGGGCGCTGGAACTTGCTATTGGCATGTAAAGTGGGGGACAGTCTTAGGGGACTGAAGCCTTAAATCTGTGGAATCTGGCTCTACAGGGAGTGTCAGAGTGTTGGAGAAGTGGTGTTAGAAAAGTCAACACGTATTTGGCATCAGGATGGAAAAAATTTTTCATTTGGTATCAGAAGTGTTATGTGTAGAACAGCACAGATGCATTATAGAAAAATTAGTTGTGGGCGCCTGGGTGGCTCAGTTGGTTAAGCGACTGCCTTCGGCTCAGGTCATGATCCTGGAGTCCCGGGATCGAGTCCCGCATCGGGCTCCCTGCTCGGCAGGGAGCCTGCTTCTCCCTCTGACTCTCCCCCCTCTCATGTGCTCTCTGTCTCTCTCATTCTCTCTGTCTCAAAATAAATAAATAAAATCTTAAAAAAAAAAAATTAGTTGTATAAAAGCATTGTTATTGTAAGTTATTGGTAAAGGGCTAGTCAGGTCTGTTCAGTATTCATCTTGGCTAAAACCAGTTTATCTTCTGCCAGTTCCTTCCCCAAAATCATCTTGCATAGCTTAAGATACCCCAGTGCCTTTGTGTCATTTTCAGTGCCCTCCACATTTATTTTCTTTCCTTTGTTCCAGCTCTAAATCTCAAACAGATTTATTCACAAAACCTACCCCACTTCAGCTCTGCCACTTCAGTAAATTTGGTTATGTTTGCTTTGGTTTCCTTTCCAGCCTAAAAAATCCCATCTCTCTGAAGCTTTTCTTGATCATCCTAGCTAGAGGAGATGTGTCCCCTCCCTCCCACTTAATTCTTCTGGTACTTGTCTATGCCACTTAATACACCACATCACATTACAATTTCTGAGGCAGCATAGTGGAGTAAAAATAAAAAGAATTATGCACACAAGGAGTCCAGAATTTGAATCTTGTATTAGCTATGTGCCCCAGAATAGCTTGCTTCTGTCAGCCTTACTTTTTTCTTTTAGAAAGTGGAAATAGTACCAATCTCAAAGGATTGTTGTGAGAATTAAATGAGGTAATATATATAAAATGCTTAGCACATTGCCTGGCATATAATAGGCACCAAATACATATTATCTTCCATCTTCTCCCTCTACTTGGAATGTAGGGACATTTTGTTTATGCTTTTTTATACACTCTCTTGACAATACAGTATGTGGCAAATGGAAGATTTATTAAACAAATGAATAAGAATCAATACAGCTTTGTGTAAAGGATAATTCTCTGTAATGACACTCTAAAGGACTTTTGAGTACAGATCATAAGTTTTTATGTCAAAAATTACAACCTCAGGGGCACCCAGGTGGCTCAGTTAGTGCGTCCAACTCTTGCTTTCGCATCAGGTCATGATCTCATGGCTCCTGGGATCAAGCCCCGAGAGGGACTCTGCACACAGAAGGGAGTCTGTTTGAGATTCTCTCCCTCTGCCCCTCCCCCTGCTTGCTCTCTCTCGCTCTCTCTGTGTCTGTCTAAAATAAATCTTTTAAAAAATTTACAACCTTAATGTAACCATAGGATAGAATTACAAGCTTTGTGTTCTTTGCTATAGGTATGTCCTACTGAAAGAAAGAAACATGCTCCTAACTCTAGAGCAGGAGGCCAAGCGGCAGAGTTTGCCAATGCCAAGTCCGGAGCGGTTAGAAAAGGTAACATTTATGGGAGACTGGAGACTGTTGGATGGGATAAAAGCCAAAATATGTAAGTGTTCCTATTTTCTTGGCAAGGAGATTTCTTTTTTTAATAAGGTGGGTTTTTAGTAAATGTACAGAGTTGTGCAACCTTCACTATTTTAGAACATCTCCATCACCCCAAAATGAAGTGTCATGCCCATCTGTAGTCACTCCCCATTCCCACCTGCAAACCTCAATAGATATGTGGACATGTGTTTTTATTTCTCTTGGGTAGATACCTAGGAGTGAAATTGCTGTCGTATGGTAAATCTATGTTTAATGTTTTAGGAAACAGCCCAACTGTTCTCCTAAAGTAGCTGCACCATTTTACATTTCTAGTTCCAGTTTAACTACTTCCTTATGAACCAGGTCAAAGTTCTTAATACTTTTTTTTTTATTGTGGTAAAAAACAGATACCATAAAACTTACCTTTTTAGTCATTTCTAAATGTATAGTCCATTAGTGTTAAGAATATTCACATTGTTGTGAAAAGGTCAACTATTGCTCAAATTAGGTTTTCTTCATCATTAAAAAAAAAAAATCCCAGGGCACCTGGGTGGCTTAGGACCAACTCTTGATCTCAGCTCAGGTCTTGATCTCAGAGTTATGAGTTCAAGCCCCACATTGGGCTTCCTGCGGGGCATGGAGCCTACTTTAAAAAAAAAATGCCTTGGGTTCATTATTTCCACTCCTAGAGGTAATCAGTCATACGTATTTCCTGTTTATCCATCAGAATTTTTCTCTGCATGTAGAAGTGTGCCTAATTATTTTTATTTACAATAAGTAATTCCTCTAATTTGGTTATACTGTATAAACTCTTCTGACATTGGCGTCTTCAACTTACCTAGTATATCCTGGATATCTTTCCCTATCAGTATATGTAGATCTGCCTTTTCTTTTTTGTGGCTGTACACGTGTAAGCTAGTTCTTCCATGTCGAAGTTTTTTGGTTTATTTAGTTAGATTTCTCAGGGTTTTTTGCCTGGATTGCTTGCGAGTCCGCTCTTTGTTGATGTGTCTGTGCCAGAGTAAGTAGTCAGTGAGAACAGAGCTCGGCTGTTTGCCTGGCCTCAGCTGTGTTTCGCTTTCCTTTCCCCACACTACTCGCGGCCGTCTCTGCCTCTAAGAGGGGAGGACCTAATATTCCTGCAGAGAGTCCAAGAAGGTAGTAACATCTCAGTTATTTACCCTAACTAGAATTCCATAGCATACTTGTTTTTTTAAACTTTATTTTGACATGAGACTGACAGAAAAGAGAATGGTACAGAGGTACTTTTCACCCAGTTTCCCAAGTGAATATTTTACCACATTTGCTTTATCCTTCTCTGCCTTTCTCTAAATAACACATTTTTTTCTTCAGAAGTTTGAGTAAGTTATATACATGCTGTCCCTTTATCCATAAATAATTAAGTATATGTTGCCCAAAAAACAAGGATATTTCCTTAGATAAGTATTGTACAATTTCCAAAATCAGGAAATCAACACTGATACAGTACTGTTATCTGATCTGCAGATCTCTTTCATCAGCTATCCTAACAACATCCTTTATAGCAAAAAAAAAATCCTGGATCATTTGTTTTCAGTTGTTCTCTTTAGTCTCCTTTGATCTGGATACTCAGTCTGTGTGTGTCAGGACATTGACATTTTTGAAGAGCATAGGCCAATTTGGATTTGTATAATGTTTCTCCTTATAATCATGATGATTGGCAGAAATATCATGGGGGTGATACTGTGTTCTTCACAGTGCATAATATTAGGCACAGGATGGGGATTTTTTTCTGTTACTGGTGTTGACATTAATGATTTTGTTAGTGTGGTATCTGCCAGGTTTCTCCACTGTATATATAGTTACTCATTTTTCTTTGTATTGAGATCATGTAAATATCCTGTAATTCCTCAAACTTTTATTCACTAGTTTTAGCATCTATTGATCAGTTATTACTGTGATGTTTGCTAAATGATGATTTTCTTATCCCACAATTCATTCTATGTTTATTGGTTAGCTTTTTTCTAAAGGAATGGTTTTCCCTTCTGTTTCTTCCTTCTTTCCTATCACTGTGGACTCCTGGATTCCAGTTTTATTCAGTGAGTTATAATTCTTTAATACCATCATCCCAGCCTAAATGGCCAGTGTGGGTCCCTTCACACTGGCCTCTGTGTTCTCATCATTCTTTCGTAAGGCACAACAAGTTGTTCTGGATTCATTTTGTACTTTCCCTGCCCCAGCCTTGGAATCAGCCATTTTACAGCAGAATACCCTGATTCCTTTTAGCGGAGAGTGATTTTTTAGAAACTAAGATCTGGGTGGTAGGTGTCCTCATTGCTACACAACATTTGTAAAGAATTGAGATTTTATTTTCAGGTATATTTGCTAATTCTGCTATTAAGGAAAGTTATGTTTTAGAGGTTTTTTTTTTTAAGATTTTATTTATTTATTTGTCAGAGAGAGAGAGAGCATGAGCCAGGGGTGGGAAGTAGGCAGAGGGAGAAGCAGACTCCCCACTGAGCAGGGAGCCTGACGCGGGACTCGATCCCAGGACCCTGGGATCATGACCTGAGCCAAAGGCAGACGCTTAACCGACTGAGCCAAGAGAGTCTTAATAAAAGTGCATTGGCTATTTATAAATAGCACATTGTTTATTTGGTGAAGAAGCTTTTGCTTGTTCTAAGATTTTTAAACTTCAGAGGTAGACTATCCCCTATCCCTGTTTAAAAAAAATATATTTCAGAAGTGAACTTCATCCCCATAGGTCCTATTACTGTATTACATTTTCTGAATAAGTGGAATCCAAAAATAACATTTTTTCCAGATAAACTGAAAGCAATAATTTTTTAAGCCTCAAATGTATGGAGTCTTCTCCATGTTTTGTGACATACTACTAAGGAAAATTTATCAAGAAAAACACTTAAAAAGAATTATTCTCAATTTAAGATAAAACCTGAAGATTTGGAAGTGTGTAAGGACACTCTAAGCTCTGGAGTAGTTAAACTAGAAAGGAAAGAAAGCTCTTTGAGGTTAGCTTGTTTTGAATAAGGTGTATCTAATTGATACTTCTGATTTTCCTTCTTATCTGGTGGCATGAACATGAGTAATTGGATGTTAACTCTGTGGACTGGGTAGCCATTTACTTTCTTTGTGAGCTAACATTAGATTTCAGTTAGGAGCCCCAGAAGTAAGCTTGCATGGGAGAACTCTAATGTAGTCGGTTCACAGCCAGGCTTACTAAGTTACTAAGAACTACACAGCTTCATATTAGGCCATGACCAGTCTGGTTTCTTCACTCTTCTGAGTTTGTCTGTCTTCAAAATAGGATTCACTATTCTCACCCATCTTTTATTTCTCAGAGATTTTGTAGAAATTCATATAGTTAAGGAAGTACATGTGGATTCAGCTGCTCATTATGGCTTTGATGGAAGAAGGGAGAATAGAAGCACTGAGTGTGAGCTGAGTGTATGGGTTATGAGGTAGTCTATCTAAATTTGTGGCTTTCATATCTCTTTTGGGTCTCGCAGCCAACTAGGAGACTTTTTTTTTTTTTTAAGAGTGTGCGCACCTGTGCATGTGGGGGTGGTGGGCAGTGGGAGAGGGAGAGAGAATCTTAAGTAGGCTCTACACCCAGCATGGAGCCCAATGTAGGGCTTGATCTCATGACCCTGAGATCATGACCTGAGCTGAAATCAAGAGTCAGACGCTTAACCAACTGAGCCACTCATGCGCCCCTGGAAGATTATAATCTAATCTGTCGTCCCTCCCCCCCCCCATTTTTGAGAACTCTTTTAAGAAACAAGTATGTATGTGCAATATTTCTATTTGTTATGATGCTCACAGAGAATACATACAACCAGCTAAAAATGCCTCTCAGTATTTAGAGCTATGAAAAAATTTAGCTCACCTGTCATTTTAGTCCCCAAATATGAATATTTATTTATAAAAATACATATATTGCCTTACCAGTATATTATTATATGCATTGTAAAACTCAATAGAAATGTTAAAAGAAAGAGATAAGAATAGAGGTCCTAATAGGATCTTCTTCCATCTTGATGGATCTTTAGAGATTAGGATCGGGGTAGACTGATACTCCATTCTCTGTAATAGTAGCGGCTGCCAATTAGGTCAAAATATCAGTGTCTGTGTGTTAGGGCACACTGATTAGTTGAGGCCAAAACATGGGTTTTAGCAAACTGTTATCATTTAATAATTCATTGAGTTTTGAAATAACAGGAGTCAAATGGGGTCTCCATAAGGAGTCTCTGCAAGTGTATCCCACTCTAAGCAAAACTAATACATATATATGGAAATCTGAGCTAAGTAGATCTTCATTTAAATGAAATTAAACTTTTGGGGCACCTGGGTGGCTTAGTCGTTTGAGCATCTGGCTCTTGGTTTCAGCTCAGGTCATGATCTCATGGGTTGTGAGATCAAGCCCCGAGTCAAGCTCACACTCAGCGGGAGTCTGCTTGAAGATTCTCTCCCTCTGCCCCTCCTCCAACTTGCATGCACACGAAGGTTCTCTCTCTTTCTCTCTCTCTCAAATAAATCTTTTAAAAAATAAATGAAACTAAACTTTTAAAAAATTACAAAAAGTGATATTGTAAGCACCCATGTATACATACCTGTGCCAAAAAGATTTTTAGGAAATATTTGACAGAATGGTTTTTTGTTTTTTAAAGATTTCATCTATTTATTTGACAGAGAGAGAGACAGCACAAGCAGGGGTAGCAGCAGAGGGAGAGGGAGAAGCAGGCTTCCTGCAGAGCAGGGGGAGCCCAATGCGGGACTCCATCCCAGGACCCTGGGATCATGACCTGAGCCGAAGGCAGACGCTTAACCGACTGAACCACCCAGGTGCCCCCAGAATGGTTCTTTGACAAAAATATTCATTAAGGTTTTCTGTAGCATTGTCTTTATATGTTCTCTCTCTTTTTTTTTGGTATTTGTTGTAGGTGATTGTTGAAATTACATCTTCTTATTCTCTTACCAGGTAATAGATTCCATGGATGCATTAGATAAAGTTGTCCAGGAAAGAGAAGATGCCCTAAGACTTCTTCAGACTGGTCAAGAAAAAGCTAGACCTGGTGCTTGGAGAAGAGACATCTTTGGAAGAATCATCTGGTACATAGTTCCCACTGTGGTTTTTCCACGATGAGAGTGGCAGTCTCATGGCTTATTCTCCTGTCCAGTATCTTTTACAAAAACTCTCACCATATGAAATATATTATAGATGTATGTAATGTAAACAGAGGTCCCCAGGCCCCTTTGGGACCCCAGGATATGAATGAAGGTAACATTATCTGGTAGGCCAGGGACCCCATTCTCATGATTTAGTTATTTGTAGGTTCTTTATAACAGTAGTTCCTAACTTATGTCAGTCATATGACTTTTTGAGAATTTGATTAAAGTTATAGATCCTTTCCCTAGAAAAATGTACATGTGCACATGTAATTTCAAAGAGTTATAAATACCATGAAGCTCATTTTAGGACACATACCTGCCACTTAAGAACCTGAGACTTAAGCGGCACCTGGGTGGCTCAGTCATTAAGCGTCTGCCTTCGGCTCAGGTCATGATTCCAGGGTCCTGGGATGGAGCCCCACATCGGGCTCCCTGCTCAGCGGGAAGCCTGCTTCTCCCCCTTCCACGCCCTCTGCTTGTGTTCCATCTCTCGCTGTGTTTCTCTCTCTGTCAAATAAATAAAGAAATCTTAAAAAAAAAAAAAAAACCTGAGATTTAAAAAATTCTCAAAAAAAAAAAAGGAAGTTCTCAAGGAATAAGGCCATATGAACCCATTTCAATGTTTGCTCCCATTGCCATCAGGATAAGCCCTAGTCCAAATTATGAAACAGTTTATTTTCATTACATCTTTCCACCTTTTGTCCCTCTAGTTCCCGAAGTTCTGTCAGACCTTGGGAAAGGATCTGATAATAAACATTCAAACTGAGGTATAAATAATTGAGAAGACCCACTGTAGTCTGTCTCTTCCAGGGTTGTATTGACATTTGAATTGAGCTGCTAAAAGGAAGCATACTTAGTAGAATTTTAAACATCAGTCAGCAAAATGAAGAAGGCATTGTGGGTGGTTAGAGACCTTCCATGCGCTCCTGAAAGTAAACCACATAATAGTGCTTACTCATTAGATAGGATCTTTTAATGGAGTTTGCAGTAATGGGGCTGCTTGGAGCCAAATGTAGGGGAGTAGCTGTATGTCTGTAACTGTGTAATCCAATACAGGAAAGAGAAATTACCAAAACATCTAAGTAGAAACTTCATTTTTTACTAATTTTTATTTGGATTAATCCAGTTGAGGCCAATTAGGAAAGGGTGAGGATAAAGGAGAGAATCTGTGTCAATACTAGAATCTGGATGATGCTATTCTCTTCCAGATTTTTTAAAATTTTGCTTTTTAACTTTCCAGAGCTAAACAAAGTAGTAAACAAAGCAATTATGTCATCTTTCCAATGTAGTTTATTAACTCAAACATTATAATTCCAGTGCCTTTTCCCTAATTTTCTATTGCATGTTAAAATATTTAAGATGCTAAACCTTTTAAATGCAGAGCTCCTTCTTAAAAACATTTCATCTGAGGTTTTTTTTCTGTCAACAAGAACATGTAGCATATTATGTTATATTAATATTATTGCAGGGGGAGGGGCAGAGGGAAAGAGAATCCTAAACAGGCTCCGTGCTCAGCGTGGAGCCCGACATGGGGCTTGATCTCATGACCCTCAGATCATGAGCTAAGGCGAAATAAAGAGTCAGACGTTTAACCAACTGAACCACCCAGGTGCCCCTGTAAAATCTTTTAAAAGCCAGTTTAAAAAAGAAAGCCAGTTACATCTCATTTTATTGAAACATATTTAGCTCAAAGATGGCTAAAACTTTCTGTAACAAGTGAAAAATGTATTAAATATTTTCTATTAAGTCAGTACCTTTTTGTTTTCTTGGCAGGCACAAATTTAAGCAGTGGCCTATACCTTGGTACCTAAATAAAAGATACAATAGGAAACGATTCTTTGCAATGCCCTACGTGGAACGTTTTGTCAGGTGAGCACAAATACTCTTAATAATGAAACTTAACACAAGTTAAGCTTTTACGTAAGTAATACACGTACATTATGGGAAAAAATAGAAGAATCAGGTAGAAAAGATGAAGTTAAAGTCTTCTATAATCTCACCATGCAGAAATAGCTTCTGTTAACATTCTAGTGTATATCCTTTCAAAAATTTGTATTGCCCTTCTGTTCATCAATCTGTATGTAAGTACATGATTAAATCCCTCTGTAATGTGAAAAGGAAGGTCCAGATACTTCAGTTGCATAACATAGGAGCTCATGTTATCGCATGAAAGGGAGCTAGGGTGAGGGGAGTGCATCTTTTGTTACATTAATGATGTAACTTTTGGAGAGCACCTAATGATGGGGACTAGTTGCTAGAGGAACCAACTTTGAATAGATGGTTGAAACTTTCAGTCCCACTCCCTGATTTCTGGAGAGGGGAAAGGGGCTGGAGGGGAATCAGTTGCCAGTGGCAAGTGATTTAATCAGCCATGCCTATGTGATGAATCCTCCATAAAAACCCAAGAGGACAGGGTTCAGGGAGCTTCACTTTCGGTGAGTAGCACCTGGAAATTGGAGGGGAGTGGGATGCCCCACTCTTTGCCCTGTGCACCTCTTCTATCTGGTTGCTCCTGAGTTTATATCCTTTTTTTTTTTTTTTAAAGATTTTATTTATTTATTTGAGAGAGAGAGAGCACATGAGAGGGGGGAGGGTCAGAGGGAGAAGCAGACTCCCCGCCGAGCAGGGAGCCCGATGCGGGACTCGATCCAGGGACTCTAGGATCATGACCTGAGCCGAAGGCAGTCGCTTAACCAACTGAGCCACCCAGGCGCCCTATATCCTCTTATAATAAATCAGTAATCTAGTGAGTAAAGGGGTTTCCTGAATTCTGTGAACAACTCCAGCAAATTAATCGAACCTAAGGAGGGATCTTTGGAACCTCTGATTTACAGCTAGCCTGTCAGAAGTACAGATAACAACCTGGACTTGGAACTGGCATTTGAAGGTCAAAAAGTTGTGGGAACTTCCAGCCTGTAGCGGGTTGTTGAGCACAGGTGACGACCTCTGATGCAGTTTCCATGTAGATAGTATCAGAATTAAGTTGGAAGTCTCAGACATTCTGCTGGTGTCTGAGAATTGCTTGGTAGGAGGGTGGGGAAGGGGGGCCCACCACCCATGGAATTAGGTCCAGAACCCTTTTATATAGTACATCCGTTCTACATGGGCATTAAGTAGCACTCATCTTTTTCATCATCAGTGCTCTAGATGTGGTCAATCCTTGATTTAATTCTTCTTGCAGAAGGTCTCCAGGGTCTGTCCTTCGTACTCCCATCTCTGCCCTAGTGCATTCCCTCTTCATCAAAATGAATTATTGAACATCTTCCTCACTCCAGTCCATTCACATATTGCTTCCTGGCTCATTTTCCTCAAACCTTTTTTATCAGTGTTGTTCAAAAATCTACAGTAGCTTCTTGTCTACAGAACAAATCCCAACTCCTTCCCACCCATTTCCACAACTTAGTGTTAGCTGCATATCCTTCATAAAAGTCATACCTTTCTTATTTCCTGAATAGTCTTGCTTATTTTCCTTTTGTTGCTCCTTTATTTACAGGTCTGAAATCTCTCCACCATTCACATTTTAAGGCCCAGTTCAGATGCTAAGCAATTAAGAAATTCAACTGCACTGTTTTTTTCCTCCAGTTTCTCTAAGCCTAATGTGCCATTTGGTGCTTTTGTCCCATAGTCATACAAGGTGAAGTTATAGTTGACTTTTAAAATAACGTATGAGAATTTATGAATCCAGTGTCACTCTTACAGGCCTTATACATGTTCTAATTACTCTATTTTTGAAACTACCTTTTTAGCCTTACCTTCAGAGCATGAAGCATAATCTTCTGACTATTCTTAATAACAAACCTTCAGGCGCCTGGGTGGCTCAGTTGGTTAAGCGACTGCCTTCGGCTCAGGTCATGATCCCAGGGTCCTGGGATCGAGTCCCACATCGGGCTCCCGGCTCAACAGGAAGCCTGCTTCTCCCTCTCCCACTCCCCCTGCTTGTGTTCCTGCTCTCTGTCTCTGTCAAATAAATAAATAAAATCTTTAAAAAAAAAAAAAGAATAACAAACCTTATTCTTTCATATGGGTTGATTTTTTTAATGGCTAAAATTTAGTTGGAGCAAAGACTGATGAATAGAATGGGTTATCTGATTTCAGCTTTGGTTTTTATACTTAATTTACAAAATACCTTATATTTTTAAACATCTACGCCTATTTTGGTCTTCACCCAGATAGAATTCTTATCTCAGATTTCTATGACCTCTCCCACAGCACTGGCCTATTAAGTTATTCACTACATAGCACTTAATTCTTGTTATATTTTATATAAACTTATGCCTAGTGATCAATACAATATCCTGGAAAATGTCATCTTAAGTACAGTAGAGGGTTGGCATCCATGATGAATTTGTCATTTGCAATTTTGATTCATAATTGACCTTGGAGGTCAAAATAATTTTAGCTGAGGCACAAACGCTTCATGCTCCAGGATGGGTGATGGGTAGAAGCAAACTCACATAGAAAGTGGCGAGTCTAACTAGCACGTAAGCATCATCTGTTAGTAGAGTTTTATTCTCTCTGTTGTAGGGAAAATGATATGGTAGACTGAGTGCTATTTGGAATTAGGGAATTCCTAAAAGTCTCAGGATATATCTCAGGGTACAGAAAAATCTATTGTATTCAATAAAACTAGTGCTTTTAAAGTATAGAAAGGTAGCCCAGTCTTTTACAGGCTCACATGATCTGTTCATTCTTTTCAGGTAGGAAACAGAAGAATTGGTGTAGGGTTACAGAGGGTTTTTATTTCAAGTTCATCTCTGACTTGTGTAGGTTTACAGTGATTATTCAAGTTTAATAGTCTACATGACACACTTAAGATGGAGGCTGGCATGACTGAGACTCTTAGGTAATTGATTTGGACATACTTTGATAGTACTGAATAACAGGGGAATAGTTTTGTATAAATTGCTGTTATGCTTTTATTATTCTAGATTGAGACTTGAGAAACGAGCCCGCATTGAAGCAAGAAAGAAAAGTTTAGAGAAAAAGAAAGAAAAATTTCTTCAGAAAAAGTTTCCACATCTTTCTGAAGCCCAGAAATCAAGTCTTATCTAAAATGTCTGAATTCTTAAGTTGCCATTTTGTTTTCCTTTGATAAGTCTATATACAAAAGTAAATGTGTATTAAGTAATTTTATAAAGAAATTGTGTTTTTAGTCAAATGACTATCAACTCTTTTAAGAATTAATATGCATGCTAACTCTGGAAGTGGTCATGCTTCTGCCAAAATTTTTTAAAAATCAGGTATAAAGTTCAGATACCCACTTTATAAATTCTGACATCTAAACAGACTTTAATTAACATCACCTGTACCCTGGGGTGGGAAAGTAATGTCAACTGCTATAGCAGAGGCTGTAAGGTCGTTTTGGATCCAGGTAACATTTTTACTATTATGTTAATAGCATATGAAGGGGGTGTGGATATTACTGTTAATAAACAGTGAGTACTTTCACTCAAAATCATGATAAATATATTTAGTCCTTAAAGTAGTTAAGTCATAACACAACAATAATTCAAAAAAGTATTTCTGGAATGGCTAATAATTTTTATTTAACTTTGCAAGCCTAAGGTAAAAAGCATAGGCAATAAGTTTTACTAGTCAATAAAAACCAATTCTACTAGTCACTGGTAACTGACATACTAAACAGAGTTGGAAAGCATTTTACTGAAAGCAAAATATTTAGAGAAAATAGACATTTATACAAAATTATAAAATGCTTGTAATAAGAATAAGTGCATTTCAAGGAAAGCACAAACTTATCTTAATTTATAGAGCCAGTTAAAGCCTTAAAAAATTTAAGTGGAAATTGAAATATGCAAAAATGTATAAACATTCTACAAAAGATGGTCATTCTTTTCCTGAGTATACTAAAGCTATGAAACTTAAGGTGACACAGGAAGGTAGAGCTTTGGGAACTCTTCAAGGGCATTTCCTTTCTACACACTGTTTCCCTCCTTCTTCATATTCTTGTTTGGAAATCCACATCTGTTGAAAGGTACCCTATAAAATGGAAAGAAAAGTTATATACTGTGCCTTTTTATTAGAAAATACTTTTAAATATCTTTTCACAACTCCCAATCTTTAAAGAACCCTTAGGCCCCTCCCCCAAACAGTCCTCCATCACTCCCCTATTTCAGCCCTCCTCCAGAACACCCAAAGACACTATTTGGAAAGAATATTAAGTCTTCCTATTCACACGGAGGCTTTAGAAAATGGCTGTGACAGGAAGATGGGAGGTTTAGCTATGATGGCTTGCTGCCAACCTACGACAACAATAGAAACTGTCATTGGAAGGCTTGATCCCAGTACAGAATTGAAGAGCTATACCCTAGCACTTGACTAATGGCAGCACTTAGATCTCAAAAGTGCTCATCCATCAGGACTAGGATAGTTTTGCAAGTACACACTTGATAGTACATAGGCACTATAGACAGTGGAAAGGAGGAAAATGACCCGAGGAGGAAGGAGCCTAAGCTACATTAGTAATAAAACATATAAGTAGGACAAATTCATTCCCTAAGATTGACCCTATTCAAGTGGATTCATGCATGGTACTCCATTTTGATCTAAGATCTAGTAAAAGACTGCAAATAGAACAAATACATAAGAAAACATTTACTAGCTTAAAAATGTTCAGTATAAGTACTTCATGACATTTACTTTGGCTGCTCTGAGGTGAAGGGGAAATTCTACCCAGTCTAGGGTTGCAGGTAAGTACAAGGACTTTTTCTCCTGATTCAAAGCAAGCACCTGTCAAAGCAACATGCAAAACCCAGCACTATGACTTCACCATTTGCCCCAAGAGCCAACTCCTGATTTCTTCTACCTCCCCAAGAGGCCAGGGAGCAACCAGGACCTGAGAAGGAATGATTTAATTTTAAGTGTGCTACAGAGAAGTCCTGACCAGTGCCAATGGGACTATGAGAAGAGGTGTGAGTAAGTTAGTAAATTCCCACCTTTGAGAAGGGAAATTGAAATTCGGCTGACAAATAGCCACTGATAAGGCACTGAAGCATTTTGTTAAATTAGAACATGTGAAACTGGTATTATTAGGTCCTCTACTCATCTGATAGTTATAAAATACAGAGATAAATGATGCACTGGAATTATTCTTAGTCTTTTTACTATATTCACTGGTACACTTAAGTGAAATCATTCAATAAGACTATTTTTCAGTTTACTAACCAAAGATGCTAGAATCGAGCCTCCAATCCATGAACTAAACCTCCGTTCAACTGTTGTATTATTTGCAATCAATTTCAACCGCATACTCTAAAATAGAGGGAAAATTAAGTATTATTAGTACAATCAAAACAGATGACTCAATTCAGAAAATTCAGTTGACTGCCTAATGACGTTCAAACACCAATTATATGTGATTATTTTGCAACAGCTAGGCTAATCGTAGGCATGGGTTGAATTACTGTATAAAGTATTTTGACTAAACTACTTTGTGGCTTTAATGTATAATATTTAATAATAAATTATATACTAAAAAGTATGGCATTCGCAGTTTATATCCTAGGATAGCAAACACATACTGAATACTTATAAATCAGATACTTTGCTAAGTCCTTCATATATTATTTCATTTCTTCTAACACCAAATCTGTCATCCCAACCTGCTACCCATTCTATATAATCCTCAACTTGCTAGCTACTACTCTTTTAGGCCTTCACGCTGTCCTAATCCCTTCCTATCTAAGGTCACTCCACCCCCCTCCACTTCCAAATCAAAATGCAGACATCAGATTTCAGGTTAAGTTTTTCATTCATATTGATTTCCTCCCAAATTAGTGTTTATATTTTGAACTCTCTTGATAAACACAGTTTATGGCTCAGTACTGTCCCTGTCTCCCTATATCAGGAGATCTTCCCCCTACCTAGGACTTTGTTTCTGGGGAAAGTTCTCAAATTGCTGATACTTCCCTATTATTTTATATGAACACATAGTTTGAGTCTTTTTCACAGTGAATAAATGTGTATGTTTTGGGGGTAGAATATGTGATACAGGAGGGAGGGGGTGCTGGAAGCAGGAGGGATGAACATGGATTTTTGTAGGTGAGGAACTGGTTGATATGGATCACAAGGAAATTTTTTTCCCTGTTATTGCATTGATTTTTAATTGCCTCCTAAATGACAAGGATAATACCTAACTGCTCTTGACCAGAGCTTGGACAGCCCAGGTCTGTATATTCATTATTCTGGGACTTCCTATCAAATCTAATTAAAGTCTTTTCCAGGTCAGACTATATCTCCAAGAATGTAGTAAATACAAGTCAGGTGTCAATCCTGTGCCTATTATCAATATTTAAATAACAATATAACAACTTAAATAACAATTCTAAAAATGTGCCATATATAAAATGTTCCTTTATGGGGCACCTGGGTGGCTCAGTTGGTTAAGCGACTGCCTTCGGCTCCGGTCATGATCCTGGAGTCCCAGGATCGAGTCCTGCATCGGGCTCCCTGCTCAGCAGGGAGTCTGCTTCTCCCTCTGACCCTCTTCCCTCTCATGCTCTCTCTCATTCTCTCTCTCTCAAATAAATAAATAAAATCTTAAAAAAAAAAAAATGTTCCTTTATATGAGAAACAAAAAAGACTCCCAAATATACAAATTCTATAGATACAATTAGGGCCCATGTAACCCTTAATAAGTTTCTTTTAATGTAATAACTAATACAGAGTAACATACAAAAAACTACTTGATAGAAGTTTTAAAATCTAAAGATTATGACTACTACTCTGTTATCAATGTGTACCAGATCTTCTCCCCAAACCACGTTCTTCTAATCCTTTTAAAATCCTTTTTAAAATTGTCATAATGCACCCAGTGATCTTTTTAAAACAAACATAGGAGTTCTGCAGTCCTCTGCCAAATTTTATCCCAGAGGTTCACTATTATTAAGCAACATGACCTAGTACCTATCTGTGTGGGTGTAATTGTGTCCCCCAAAGAGATATGTTGAAGTTCTAGTCCCTGGTACCTATGAATGTTACCTAATTTAGAAATAGGTTCTTTGCAAGTGTGATTAGGATACAAATTAAGGACATATTGGAGCAGAGTGGGCCCTTAATCCAATAGGACAGGAGTTTTTATAATGAAGAGAATAGACCCACAAGAGAGGACTGCCCTATGACAATGGAGACAGATTGAAGTGTTGGAACTGCAATCAGTAATCACCGGAGGATTCCTCGTAAACCATCAGATGCTAAGAGGGAAAAGAAGAATTCTCATGGGTATGTTTCAGAGAGAGGAGAGCCTGCTGACATGTTGATTTCAGACTTCTGGCTTCCAGAACAGAGAGAATAAATTCCTGTTGTGTTAAGCCACCCAGTTTAGTTTGTGGTACTTTGTTATGGCAGCCCTAGGAAATTAATAAACCATCCATCCTCCCAGCCATATCACTCTTCCCACTTCTTTTTTTTTTTTTTTTTTAAGATTTTATTTATTTGACAGAGAGACACAGCGAGAGAGGGAACACAAGCAGGGGGAATGGGGGAAGGAGAAGCAGGCTTCCCGCGGAGCTGGGAGCCTGATGCGGGGCTCGATCCCAGGACCCTGGGATCATGACCTGAGCCGAAGGCAGGCGCTTAACGACTGAGCCACCCAGGTGCCCCACTCTTCCCACTTCTGCACAGACTAAACCAACTATGTTGAAATATCAGAATATGCCATCTTCCCTTCATAGTTTGCACATGGCATTCCCTCCACCTAGATGTCCTTTCATAAATTACCAACCAGTTGGAACTCCTATTCATTCAGTTTCTTCATGAGGGAGATAAGTGCTCGCTCTACAGTGTTCCCTAGAGTGCCTGGTTCATGACCTACTAAAACCACTTAGCACGTTATAGTCTTTATGCATGTCTATTCCTCCTAGCAGACTGAGCCCTTAGTGGGCAGGGATTATAGTTTATATCCCCTAGTGCCTAGCAGACAAGAGGTACTTAAATATGGAATCAATGAATAAAAGATTCAAGTACAAGAGTCATCTATGAAAAGAGGTCATCTATGAAAATTTAAGTAACAAGGGCTATTAACCTTTTTTTAGGTAATACTGTATTAGGCACACACAAAATAGCAATCTACTACTGAAAAACAAACCTTATCTATAAGATTACACCAGTGATGACACACAAGACTGAAGAATACTACTAAAGAACAAACAAACTTACTGGGGGAGTTTTCTGAGAGAGCTCTCTATTCAATCTGTCAGTAAAGCTCTGTATTAGCGTGTTTCCTCCTGCCACTATAACACTTCCATAGAGACCCTAGGATTAAAAAAAAAAAAATTAGTTCCAAATGTTTCCAACAGTTTTTTTTTTTTTTTTAAGATTTTATTGATTTATTTGACAGAGAGAGAGAGACAGTGAGAGAGGGAACACAAGCAGGGGGAGTGGGAGAGGGAGAAGCAGGCTTCCCGCTGAGCGGGGAGCCCCACGCGGGGCTCAATCCCAGGATCCCGGGATCATGACCTGAGCTGAAGGCAGATGCTTAACGACTGAGCCACCCAGGCACCCCAGTTGTTTTTTTTTAAAGATGTTATTTATTTACTTGAGAGAGCACAGAGGGAGAGGAAGAAGCAGACCCCTGCTGAGCAGGGAGCCTGATGCGGGGCTCAATCACAGGACCCTGGGATCATGACCTGAGCCGAAGGCAGCCGCTTAACCGACTGAGCCACCCAGGTGCCCCTGAATCTAGAGTTTAAATAAGATATAATCAATCTAATAATTAGTATATATATAATATGGAGTTAGTATATAAAACTTGGCAAAGCACAAAAAATATGAAGGTTGAGTCTCTAAACTCTATGTAAAAGTTACATAATTTAAACCCATACCTTCCTAAACAATAAAAGTAGCAAAATTACACAAGAAAAATCACCAATAATATATATTTTGGTTTGTCACGTTTTAGGAAATCTCTAGAAGAGCACTGTCTGTCCAAAAGAACTTTCAGTGATGACAGAAATGTTCACTATCTGCACTGTCAAATAGTAGCCGTTAGCTACATTTACAATGTGGCTAGTGCAACTGAAAAATGGAATTTTAAATTTTTACTTATTTTAATTTAAATTGTCACATGTGGCTGGCAGCTTCCACACTGGACACCATAGCTCTAGAGTTCTGCATTTTTCCTTTTCCACTACTTCATGATTTTACACATTCTAAAATGGACTTCAAAGTCAATGGCCAAAGTTGACAACTTAAATACTGATCTGGGGGTACTTCCTTACCCAAAAAAATACCTTTACACTGTAAGCAGGAGGCTGACACTTACTGGTCTGATATCAATATCGCACATTCCAACACTTGTAGTGACAACGTGACTGACTCCCAGCATTGTATTTCCTGATAATCCCTACAACAAAATAAAAATTAGTAGTTAACAGAAGAACTTCAAACAACACACCCAAAAATATCTAGTCAGTGTTATTTAGGTTTTATAATTACACAAGATCTTCACATATATGGGACAAGTCAAGCTAATTATGAAACAAGCTTTTATACCTTTACATTGGAAGGGTCAAATAATCCTTCAGGAATCTTTAACCGTTCTGCTCCAAAGTCACAGTTGTACCCATTGGGGAATTCATAATGAACAGTTGGCATCTGTGCAGCTACTCTGAAAACATATTAAACAACATTAAACAAAAGACAAAAAAAAATCCTGCTCAAAATATAAACTAAGAAATTATCAACTTGTAAGAAAGCAGAGTGAGAATATCTTTCTTTTATGCTAGTCAGTGTTTCTTACCATAACTTTTTACCTTTAGACCAGTTAAGCATATTCTGCAATTCTTTAACTAAACAAATCGATTTCTCTCCTCATTTATGAAGTATTCAGTGTTTAGAAGTTTAGTATGAAGGTTTTAATGAGCTATTATAAATCTTGTAGATAAGAAAACATACTGTTCATCATAAGTTGAATCTGATACTTGAAGTACTGAAGCTTGAAAGTCCTGGATAACACACTATGGATTAAAAAAAAAAAAAAGTTTTTAAGAAACAAGGTTATGGAGATTTGTCTTTGCAATCTATACTTTTGTAATATTATATTTAAAATACTTTTTTTTTTTTAAAGATTTTATTTATTTGACAGAGAGCGATAGCGAGAGCAGGAACACAAGCAGGGGGAGTGGGAGAGGGAGAAGCAGGCCTCCCGCTGAGCAGGGAGCCCGATGTGGGACTCAATCCCGGGACCCCGGGATCATGACCTGAGCCGAAGGCAGACGCTTAACGACTGAGCCACCCAGGCGCCCAATTTAAAATACTTTTCTTAATGAAACCAGACCATGTTCCTGGATGGCAAAGTCATTTCAAGGGTATAAGTCTATCCAGCAAGGACTCAGAGTATCAAGAAACCCAACTCTAAACATTTGCATTAGAAACTATATTATACCACATTTAAATTAACAATAATTAGGGCGCCTGGGTGGCTCAGTTGGTTAAGCGACTGCCTTCGGCTCAGGTCATGATCCTGGAGTCCCAGGATCAAGTCCCGCATCGGGCCCCCTGCTTGGCAGGGAGTCTGCTTCTCCCTCTGACCCTCCCCCCTCTCATGCTCTATCTCATTCTCTCTCTCAAATAAATAAATAAAATCTTAAAAAAAAAAAAAAAAGAGAACATAACTGAGCCATACTAGCAGGTCTCTACATACTAAAACCATTCCCTATCTTAGACGAAAAATGTACAGAATACATAATGTTTGTTTTTACTCCAAAACCAAAGTTCCCTCCGGGTCTTATTGTAATCCAAATGAATACATATAATAGTTTGTTGAGATAATTTGTTTGACAAATATGAAAAGCATCCCTTCCCTCTCAAAATAAGCTATTATTTTTGTTTGTAAAATACCATTAAAACTATAAAGTGCTCAGGGTACCTGGGTGGCTCAATTGGTTAAGCATCCAACTTCAGCTCAGGTCATGATCTCAGGGTCCTGGGAGTGAGCCCTGCATTAGGCCCTGCACTCAGTGGGGAGCCTGCTGCTCCCTCTCCCTCTGCCCCTACCCCCACTTGTGCTGTCTCTCTCTCAAAATCTTGAAAAAAAAAATACAAACTGCTCACATTCTACTCAAAAACGTATAGCCTATAATAGTTTTATAAAGAGAATAAGGGTACTTACATTACACATGTAATTGTGCCAAGATCTTGTAACCTGTGGCAATTTCTCTTTTCTTTTCCAGTTCGCTGGAGATCCTTCACGAACGGCTTCCTGAGTACCAAGAGCATGTGCTAGGTTAATAGAGTTCACAACATGGGGGTGGGGAGTTGGAAATAAATCCCAAAGAGAAAATTCAAGCATCACTTACTTTTGATGCAATCATATATGGAGGAATCAGTTCTATATTCATTTCTTGGAAGAGTTCTCTGCATTGCATAGTAATGAAGTCTCCAGCAAGAGGGGATTTCACAATGCCTATGAAAACAGATTAAACAAGGCTAAGACAGCATTAAATCCAAGCTCCTTGGGACAAATTCTTCTGTGTATTTATATATGAATAATTTTTTCAAGTAGAATTAACTGAACTATCCCTCTAAGCATGAATGAAGCCATGCATCAGTTTCAAATATACATTATAAAGATGTTTTAAAAACTCTTAATAAAGAGACATTATTTGGAAACTGATATGACTTGATAGTCCAATTCACTGCTCTGTTATCTACGTCTTCATGACAGCTAACATCATCTCAGCGTACCCTCATTAAATCCATTTACCTTGCTGAAGGACATAGCCATCGTGAACTGGAATTGCAGTGGTATGAGTGGCTCCACTGTCCAAAATAAGCCCAGTAGAACGACCATTAGCAAATCTAGTTTAAAGCATTAAGGAAAAGAAAGTATCAAGGCTTGTAAAGGGAAAGTTTTATTAAGGCATTCTTAAACATGTGTATTATGGCTTAAAAGGTGTTAAAGTTAATCCACGGATGAAAACTGGTGTCAAATAACTGGCTTAAAGACAAATGACAACAAGCAGCACTTCCAAAATGATGGTGAGAGGGAGGCAGGGAAACCTTTATCCCAGAGAGACATCTATTAAACTGGTCAAAATTAGCACAATCATTCAAAGTCTCTGGAGACAAATGAAAAGACTTCTATTTAACAAAATCTATAGAAACTCAGTAAAACGGTGGGAGGCTGTGGCATTTGAGCTAGGAACTAAAACCATTCTCCACATAGGTTAAAGAACAACCATTTCAGCAGTGTGGCAGTTCCCACAACTCAATGGGAAAGCTATTCCAGGTGGATTCAACAGCCAACAAATATTGGCAGACCCCATCTTCCACAGCTCTGTGCTGCAGAAGGCATGTGTCACATGAACCTCATAAACCAGTACGTAGGAGGAGGGCCATTCACTTGGTCATCAAGTATTTACTGAGCATCTATTAGGTGCCTAGTGTTAAGTTTGGTACTGAATAAAGGAAGGTATTCAGTCTGGCCCTGGCCCTGACATTCCCAAGCACAGAAGGCACAAAAAGGTGCTCCTAAATGGACTCCGCCCTGAAGGATATCCTGTTTAGTAGAGACCAGTAACCTGTGAAAAGAACAACTCAGGGTGCCCCGGGGTTGTAATGGAGAGCCCACCTAACCAACCCTGAGGAAATCTAAATGTAAGCTAGGGAGGAAAACACAGGGAAGATAGAGGAACATGTGGAAAGGGCAGGCGGCAAGAGGGTACAGTGAGGCCAGCAAAGTGCAAAGTAGTTCAGCAGAGCCTGCAAGAATGTTGAAGATGATTCTGGCTTAAAGCAGCCTGCAATTAAAGATGATTATTAGAGGGGAGTAAAAAGAATGGGCAAGGTAAGAGGAAGGGTTGCAGTAATCCCAGAAATAGCTTGCACTGAACGCAGTGGCAGTGGAGAGAGAGAAATCAATGGATTTGAGAGGCAGTGGGGAGAAAAAAAAAAAAAGGTCTTGATGACTGACTAAATTAGAAGGGGTAAAGAGAAAGACTTCTAGTCTGCGCAACTGCGAGTAAGAAGATATAAAGAAGGAGGAATAAATTTGAGGGGAGAGAAGATTAATTCAGCTTTGACATAATGAGTTTAAAGTGCTTCAACAGATAATTAATACAAAAAGTTCTAGTAGGACAGCTGGATGTGTGCCTGGAGCTCACAAGAAAGATCTGGGATACAAAACAGATACGGATTTGGAATTTGTTAGTGTAGAACTGGTATCTGAAGCCAAGGAAATGGATAATTTAAACCAGAAAGAGCATGTCAAGAGAGATGAAGGGCTAAGGGCAGAAAACCAAGCAATGCATAAGAATGATCAGAATCAATGAGAATCAATGGCCAGAAAGACAGGTTGGTGATTTATCTTTGCTAGTACTGGTACTCTACTGACCTCTGGTCAACTATATACATAAACATTAATCTGATGCTCTATTAATACAAAGTGACAGATGCAGTAATACCAGACTAAAAAGTGGCATAAAGGTATATGGACCTTCCTATAAATAACAAAATCTGGACAAATTATCTTAAATGACCATTTTAAGATAAAGTGTTCAAAAGCAGTCAAAATTCAGCCAAAATTTACTCTCATAAAACTGCAACTGGAAAGGGTAAGAAGTTCCAAGTTGTAGCTTCCTTGCCTGAAAGTGCTCCCCACCTCCATGGCTACGGTTGGGAAAGCAGTGGTGGAAAACTGCAACTTTACCACCTTGAGTGAACAGAGAAAGGAGTTCAGGGCTGGAAGAAAAGCTGGACAGGTAAGGCAGAAACCCTAGAAGCCAGAGAACACACAGAAGGGGTCAAACCCAAAATCAGAGTATAAAATATACCCACATCTCTGACTACTGCTAAACTCTTCAGGGGCAGGACTTCAGGGGGCCCAACAAAAAGAGAGAGAACAGAGAGTAATCCACTCTGCAAAATCACAGCAGCTAACTGCATTCTCCAACAGTATGCAGCTTGGACAGCAGAAGGCCCTCTTTACTAGCCTGAAGTGTCAAGAGGACAGGGCCTGAGGTTGGCAGGTATGAGAACCCAGCTATCAGTTAAGTCAGATAAAACAATGCTATCCTTCTCACTAATATTTTTTGTTTTGGAAAATATATCTTTTTCATAAAAATGGTATTTATGTTAACCTTAATGGGTCTTTTTTGGTCATATTTAAGTGAATAAATAAATACTAAAACAATTTTCAGTTGGGGCACCTGGGTGGCTCAGTTGAGCACCTGACTCTTGGTTCTTGCTCAGGTCATGATCTGGGGGTCCATAAGATAAAGCCCCGCATTGAGCCATGCGTACATCAGGCCCCCGCAGGCATCAGGCTCCAAGCTCAGCTGGGAATCTACTTCTCTCCCCATCTCTCTGCCCTTCCCCCACCTCACACACCTGCTCACTCTCATAAATAAATCTTTAAAAAAAAAAAAACAATTCTTAGTTTTAATTTCTCACAGTGATCCTGACATATAATCCACATAAACAAAATCTTGGCAGTCCTCAGTAATTCTTTGAAGTGTAAAGGAGGGCGCCTGGGTGGCTCAGTTGGTTAAGCGACTGCCTTCGGCTCAGGTCATGATCCTGGAGTCCCGCATCGGGCTCCCTGCTCGGCGGGGAGTCTGCTTCTCCCTCTGACCCTCCTCCCTCTCATGCTCTCTGTCTCTTATCCTCTCTGTCTCAAATAAATAAATAAAATCTTTAAATAAATAAATAAATAAAGTGTAAAGGAGTCCTGAAGCCATACAAAATGTTTGAGAGGTCAAAACAATTTTTAGAATAATACTAAGATGTTATTTGCCTTTTTCACTCCCACCCTCTCATGAGTGTATATGCAACTCTTCCAGAGACCATGTCACGTGTGATACAGAACAGACTGAACTCAAAAGACAGATATGAGAATCCAACATCTGCTATTAAGCCTGACATTAAAGAGATCTGAAAATATGTAAAATAATTCCACTCTTCTCATAATTTTTTGGGTTTCAGAAATCAACTGATTTTCATTAAAATATTTTACATTAACATATAATGATTTATTATTAATTTACTTAAACTAAGAAATCTAATTTTTTTGGTTTCTATTTTAATTTCCAATATGGTAAACACTGCCAGATACAATCCACATAAATAAAAGCTCTGGATGTAAAAGGTTTGAGATCCACTAGGCTAGAAGAACATAGTAAAAGGACACCAGTCAGCTAAATCCAGAAATGTAGGAAATTCTACAGGACAATCTACCTCCTTAACAGACAGATAACAAGAGAAAAAAAGGGTCAGGGGGAGTAGAATCTATAGATTAAAAGAGACATACTGAACAAATACAACGTATGACCCTTGTTCAGATCCTGACTCAAATATACTACACTGTTTTTAAAAAAAGTTGTGATTACTTCTTTTTTTGTCTTTAGACACATGGTAAAATCTTTTAGAGATACATGCTAAAGTTTCTATGGATAAAATTATACCATGTCTGGGATTTACTTCAAAATCATAGTGGGAGGGGGAGTGGGCAGGGTTATAACTACTACTAGTTAGCTATGTGTTGAAAACTGAACTGTGTGATAGGCACATGGAGGTTCAATATAACATTCTATCTTCTTTTGTGTTAGAAATTTTCCATAATAAAAGGTTAAAAAAATAGAACAATGCCCCATTCTGTTTACACACTCCTTGTAAGGAAGTAGCCAAACAGACCTATATTCAAATCAGTAAAGCCACTTTTAAATTGTGGACTTGAACTAGTTTGCTCACTTCAACCACGTTCCTGAGAGGGTTATTATGAGTATTAAATGAGATAATGCACACAGTGCTAGCTAGCATTCTCCAGCCTCTACTCAAAAACCTGCAATGCTATACTAGAGTCTAAAGTTCAAATTTTAAAAATCTAACATGCAAGGTCTCTACAGTTTGACCCAAACCTATTTCCACAACTCCTTCTGAAGTCTAATAGAAATCTTCAACTATAAACTAAGTCACCGGAAAGAATACTTACACTTTCTACCTCCACACTTTCACTAAAATCATCTCCAAAACACAGCACTAGGGACACCTGTGTGGCTCAGTCGGTTAAGCGTCTGCCTTTGGCTCAGTTCATGATCACAGGGTCCTGGGATCGAGTCCCGCTGAGCAGGGAGCCCGCTTCACCCTGCCTGCTGTTCCCTTGCTTGTGCTTGCTCTCTCCCTCTCTCCCCCCTGGTCAAATAAATAAAATCTTAAAAAGAACACAGCACTATAGACAATGTTAGATTACAGTTACCACAGTGATTCTCATATATATGTAAAATTTACTTGAATTTTTTTTTTTTTTAAGATTTTATTTATTTATTTGAGAGAGAGAGCACATGAGAGGGGGTAGGGTCAGAGGGAGAAGCAGACTCCCTGCTGAGCAGGGAGCCCGATGCGGGACTCAATCCAGGGACTCCAGGATCATGACCTGAGCCGAAGGCAGTCGCTTAACCAACTGAGCCACCCAGGCGCCCAAAATTTACTTGAATATTACAGCAATCCAGGGAGGTATATGGCATAGATGAGTAAAAAGTAAAGCTAGGTTTTAAGTACTTAATTCAAAAATCACAGTTTGTAAGCATTTCAACTTAAACTCTAAATACAGGGCTCCTTCCCCCACATCATACAAATAACTTCTATTCTCTGCGTAAAGATTTTTTTTTAGGATTTTTT